AAAAAAAAAAAAAAAAAAAAAAACACTAACACATTCATACAAAGGGCTGATTTATGAAAGATTTATAAAATTAGGGGCCAGGCAGATGGCTCAGTGAAATAAGCGCTTCCCTGGCAAGTTTAAGGGCCTGAGTTCAATCCGCGGTTCCAGGAAAAAAAAAAAATAATAAATAAATAAATAAAATGAAAGGGGTCCCTTTGCCATTTCTTAAACTAGGCAAAAATAACATGAAAAAGAAATTACATTAAAAATATAAACAGCTATCAAACATAGGAGATGTGCATCTCTTTTGGAAACTAAAGAAAAAATTGAAACAGCAATGAGATATTTTTCCTTATGACTGAACCCAGAAATTCTGTACTGAGTTACATCCCCAGCCCTTTTAAATTTTTTGTTACTTTGAGACAGGTTCTAAGGTGCTCAGGTGGGACCTGAACTTGTAATCCTCCTGTCTCTGCCTCGTGGGTAGCTGGAATTACAAGACTGTGCCATCATGCTAAAGTGAGACTTTTTAATTTTCTAGTCTGACCAAGACAAACTGTCATCATCAAGAGGTAAGGGCAATGCACATACTGTTCCTGGAGTGTAAACTATGAAATTCTTCTTGTAGAACTTACCTACCAAGACTTTATTTCTGTATTTTAGGGAAGGGTCTACAGGGGTTCAGGGTCTCACTACTAGATTGGGCTTGTAGTAATGCGCCTGTTTACAGCTTCCCAAGAGCTGGGATTACAGGCATTCGCCACCACACAGTCTCAACTTGCCGACTCAACATGCCCCGGAGGCAGGGCCAGCATGGCAGGCCCAGGGATGTACTGAAGGATGCCTTCGGTCACAGAGCCCAGGTCACATGAGTGTATGCAAAAGCAGCGAGCTTTTTGTTTTAAGGACTTCTATGGCACAGCTGCATCTTGCTCTACTTTGTGCTATCAAGTATTATGGGAATCCATACTCTCTTTCCTTAGAGATCATTACTTTTTTTTAAACTCTGATAACTATGAGGTACAACAATTTCATTCCCATGACTGTAGGACATGACCTGTCAATCTGTGAACCATAAAATGTAAGCCCCTTTCTTCTATTTTCCTTCTTATAATATCCATAGTTATATGGTGGCTGTACTGTCCAAAAACTGTGTCACACTGGACTTTGGATTGGTGTAACTGACAGAAAATATTCATTGCTCCAAGCAGTGTCTTTTTATATAGCTCTTAGCCACTTTGATGCCTACAAGGGGGCTGCCTGACACTTTATGCTTAATAAATTAGAAACGGAATTACAGATTGAAAGGGCTCTGAATTGGAGCTGCCTGGCTTGACTCTCTCCACTATGTAGCTTGTTAATTAAAGACATGTCACTTTAGTGCTTTAAACATGTTTCCTCTTGGGAAAATGGAGATGGACAACAGTCCCTACTTTCTAGTGTCCTGCAAAGTACATGTATAATAGGCACATTTCAAACAGTCCCACAGTCAACAGAAGTTAGCTGCCATTATTCCTCTTGCTGGTAATATCTGCAGCAAGTCAACATGGGTGATTTCCTCTCAAGGAAAAGATCGAGCCAGTGCTTGGCTGTTCCTCATTACAGTGCTAAAACACACACACACACACACACACACACACACACACACACATACACACACTGGTCAGGCATCTTGGTGTCCTCAGGGACCCCTGCTGTTTCCAATCTGCTCTTTGCATTTCCCTGACTTTCATATCTTCTCATGACCTAAGTGGAAACCCTTTCTTGTGCTTATCTATTAACTGCAATGTACATAAATGATGTCTTCAAAGGATTCAAAGTGGAAAAAAACACAACCCGTCAGCCAGGTTAGAGATCTTCAGGTTGGTGCTTACAGTCTGACATGGTGGTGGCCACTTAGGGCTCTGAGCACCTTAAATATGACAAGCCTGAACATAAATGTGCTGAAAATGTAAAAAGCATACTAATTTTAGAGAGTAAAATAGAATACAAAACATCTCTACAGTTTATATTTTTGTACTGATTATACTGATAGTATTTTAGGCACAACTGGGTTAAAAAAAAAGGCAAAAAAAAAAAAAAAAAAAAAAGAATCCAATAAAAGGAAGAAAGGAAATAAATACAAAGCAAAAGGCAAAAGAAAATGAGAAGAAAAAAAGCACAGAGGCACACCTGTAATCCCAGCACTCTACGAGGCTGAGGAAGGAAGACCATGAAGTCAAGCCCAACCTGTGCAACTTAGCAAGATTTTGTGTGAAGGCCTGGGTTCAATTTCCAGTATTGCAAAAAAGAAAAATGAAAAAGCACTGAAAGTAGAAACAAAACTTATTCTTTAAACACAATGTAGGGCTGGGGAGATAGCTCGGCAGTCTAAGCACCTGCCTGGAAAGCGCAAAGACCTGGGTTCAATCCTAGGTACTGCATGCCATGCTAGCCCAAGAACCTAGGCACTCTATGCCAGCCACAAAACTGGGCATGGCAGCACAAACCTGTAAACGACTCTGAACTGCATAGCAAGACCCTGCACCAAATAAATAAGTTAATTAAGTAAACAATGTATACTAATGCGTATAAAGAAATATGATTACCTTGTGAATGCTCAATTTCCTGGTTTCATCTAGATCCAAAAACATGTCCAGATCACATCCTAACTTCCCGAAAGTGTTCACTGAGGAGCCAAAGGGTCTGACTGTACAGTCTGGAAAATAGGCAGCTGCTATATCTTCAATAAGAGAGCAAGTGAGGTAACGGAGCCTGGTGTTCTCTTCTGTTAGCTGGAATTCCTTCAAGAGTGTATTCAGCTGATCATCTACCTAGCTGGCCAAAATAAAAACACAAAACACAAGAAGTGCGGTCATATACAATAGCTGTCATTTCACTTCTGAAGATCTGATGCCTCTGGCTACCTACCTTTAAAATAGGTATTTTGAAGCTTTAGTGGCGCAATCGGTTAGCACACAGTACTTATATAAAATAGGTAATTTTATTTTCAATCTTAAAAGTAGATTTTAAAACACAGTCCCTTAAAAAGCACTGAAAAACGACACAAGGAAGTGTTGGCAAGAATTAAGACTATTGCTTGTCATATAAAATGAGCGCTGAATGCTGATTTAGGACAAGGAAAGCAGTGAAGTGCCCCACAGGCAATCCATCCAGAAATAGGCTTTGGAGGGAGTCAATGTAAAAGGACAAGGAACACCAGAAATAAACAACCCAAACCCCGTGTGGTGGCAGACACCTGTAATCCCAGCATTCGGGAGGCTGAGGCAGGAGGATCTCTGCAAGTCTGAGACCAGCCTGGGCTCCCAAGCAAGCTCAAGAGCAGACTGAACTGCACAATGAGACTCTATCTCAAAAAAAAAAGACAAAAAAACAAAACAAAACAAAAAAACAAGTAGTGAAGAACCAACATTTCTGTTGCTTAGAAATGATCACATGTATTCACTAAAGATTGATGTTAGAATAATCAGACTATGAAACCAGAATAAAGCTAAATATTAAACAGAAAGAAAAAGTCATAGCTTCAATTTCACTTGTTGGCTGGGAAGATGGTTCAGTAGAATAAATGCTTCCCTGGCAAGCGCAAGGGCCTGAGTTCAATACCTGGTTCTACCAAAAAAAAAAAGAATGATCAATTTCACTTGTTTTTAAACAATAGTGAACATAAAACTAAGCATTCATCTAAAAAATAAATAAAATACTACATAAGGTTAAAAGCAGTACATTTAATAATTTAAAACTCAAACAGAAAATAGTATTCTTGATTGTTTCAAAGGCCTCTAAACTAGCTAAAAGTATAACAAATCTGAGTAAGAAAAACTAAGATAAATATAATAGTAGGTCAAAGAAAAAGACAGAAAACTAGAAATACGACACTGCAAGATTTACAGAATACCATGTACAGTTTTATGTCCTCAGGTTGAGGAAAAAGGAAAAACCTGAATGGGTCTAAGAGGCCAAGGCCCTGGAAGACGGCGGTTAGCACTACGGAGCACCAGGACATAAAACACAGAGCCGAGCGCCTTCACTTTTCACTCCATATATTCTATAGTTCGGGTTTTTAAATATAAGCCCAATAATTTTATAAAGATTTAAAGCTATAACAAAAACCAGCAAAACAAATATACTAATATATTTTTAAAAATACAAATTGACTAGTGTTTATCCTGGATATGCAAATAGCCACATGTGAGGAAATTTGTACTCAAGACACATGGAGAAAAACTGTGTGATAATCCACAATCACACACCAGTTACCAAGAAATCTCAGATGGGAAACCCAATATCCACTTGATATGTCAAACCCAATGTAATTCTTACAAAGCTACAACACAACAAAAGTGCCCGTCCCTCATAATGCCACACATCTATCACCACTCTCTATCTCCATAATTCCTTCCATCATATAAAATGAAAGCCCTG